TTCTTGCCATTCTGAATTATAAATGAAGTGCGGTTTTTGAATGCATTTTAAAACATATATATATAAATCACAGTTTTTTTTGTCCGTGCACATAATGTCAGCTGAATATACAAACATATGTAATTTGTCAAACAATTTAGCATACACTGTATATTCATGCTTCCATAAGAAATACATGAATAAACACTATGGGAGCAGTTGCTTTATGAAAAGGACAGGAAGCTGTGTTTTCTGCCAGCCTTAATGACAGCTGTGAGATAATCAGAGTCTTTCACTCATCAGTGGCGCTACTGTCCCAGCCAAAACTTCCTCTTGATTTCTAACCAAGTATAGTATTTCTTGCAGAGGAGTACATTTAACAGATGTCATGTTAAATTAACATAACCTGCCATGAGTGTATTTACAATTACAGAGATTTATGCAGAGGTAATTTGGTCTCATACTCAACATACAGTATGTTAACAGCATAGACAGATCAACAGATGTCCGACCTGTTTGGACCCTTCTACCTTGCTTATCTGAGATGTCTACATAAACAGACACTGACAGCTGTCACTGCTCACCAAGTCGTATTGGTTACACTGGGAGATACAGAGAGGACGAGTACAGACGAAGATGAAGCTCATCATCAGCAGGAGGTTTCCTCGAAAACCCTCCGAGAGCATCGGATCTTAAGAGAGACGGAAAGTCAGGCGTCACGACTAAATGGAGGAACAGGTTCATCCTCCTGCTCATGTGGCCTGTGTCGTCTCACACTGTACACTAACCCCTCGTCTGCCATTCTTATAATAGGAACATATTTTCCTTGAAAGCATAAATAAATGAACAAGAAATCAATAATATTGGTATTTGACGGTACAGTGGAGCACATGGTTTTAATCATTTCTAAACATCACAAAGCTATGATTAGGAGTTAAGCTAGTCAATGCAGAGCATACAGTATACTTGCATGCACGTTTATTAGGTACACCAAACTATTACAAAAGTCCTGCAATGAATCCTAACAGTTTCAACTAACACATAATACAATAACCTGTTCGTATCAATGCCATTAGTTAAGCCATTTATTAGCTAAACATAGAGCAGAGGTGTACTCCTTCAAGCAGAGAACTGAGCCATGGTTACAGAGGAAACCCACTTGAAAACACACACCCCAGAGGCTTCTTCAAAAGGTCAGGAGGTCAAGGCCACTGGTGAATCTCTCACTTTACTGCCAGAGTTTGTACCCGGGTGAGGACTCGCTGTTGCTTTCCGCTGACCTTTACTTCACATTCTTAATGAGAATGTCTTGAGGCGAAAAACATATTTACATCGCCTGATAAAAAAACGACAATGGGTTGACATGTTGCACAAGCAAAGCTTAGTGGGGACATGATTCATGTTGCGGGTATTCTTAGTTCAGCACTGAGAGAAACATTGCCCAATGAACTAACATGTTTTTCATAATGTGAGAATAGCGCTCCGCGTACAGATGTCATGAAGTGTGACGAAACCAAACAGCTGCATAAAACAGGATGTTTTGCAAGATTGAATGCTGCTCGATGGATAATTACTTCAAAGACACCATCAAATTAAACAATTACAGTTGCGAAAGCTGTACATAAATTCACGTTGCATTTACATGGCAGTAAATAAAGAGGAAATATAATCAGTGCCACATTCTTCTAGTGAGAGCCGTCAGCACAACGCTGCAATACAAGTTTGGGACTTTTTCCCCATTATTGCAGCATGAGGCCTTCGGTCAGACCACAGGGCATGCCTCTCGCTGAGAGCCAAACAAGGCAGGACATGTTTTCCTTGGCAGATGCATGACGAATTACCGCTGGAGCACATAACCGCCACAATATCCGTGACACCGTCCCTAATAAGCGAGCTAATAGGTCTGTTGAGTAATGGGCGAGAGGGCCAGTGCTATGCACAGCATTATGGGAAAGAAATGTGATGAATGTACAAGGAATATGGGCTAAAAACATTCCATTCAATTGAGGAATTTACAATGGAAAGAAGCACACATTCCCTCGGTTTCGCTGCTCAGAGACTCAATATCATATTGTTTAGCAAAGAATGGCATTCATGCCTCAGTGGGGAATTCAAACTCAAATCCTCAGTATGTTGCTCTCGGCCAACAGTTATTTTGCTAGAAGTTTGTTTTGTCTATGTGTCCATATTCAACCCATGTATGAAGACAAAATAGCATTTCTAAAACCATCAAGTTCTCGCTTTTAAGATATTCTCAGCTGATATTTTGATTTGGCTACCTGATTTAGGATCCCCCCCCCATCAGCGCTTTAATAACATTAACACTAAAGACCTTTAGAGTGGCTTTGCATTGATTGTGGTTGCTTGAATGACTTGAGTTGTTGGCCACTTGTGACCCCATGGATGGTGATAAAAGCGGAGGACGGGCCGCTGCAGGGGCCGTAGGAGAAGGGCTGATGGGGCTGTTTCGGGCCGATGTGGGGGCACAGTGGGCCAAGCACGGTCACATGCTTGCGTCATTTATCAAGTCATAAATCTGGATTTGCCGCAAGGCTTTCAGGTTGAACCAAGAGCAGCTGGAGGTGAACTCAGAGGCAGACAGACAAACTGTCAGGAGGGAGAAAAGGGTGTTCATAAAGGACAAAGAGACAGGGCGTCTGAAACAGAGATATGAGGGAGGTAAATCACAGAAATAGCAGAGAGACACAACCTCCACCTTTCTCACAGTGAAACACACATAAACACACACTGGGGACAGGTGTGAGAGTTCTGCTGAGCCCGAGGCCATGCAAGACACCATTGCCCACCTTGGTGTTTATTTGTCCACCCATCCTCCTCCCCTCCAGGCGCTCAAAGGGTAAACGTCTATTCTGGTTTAAGGTTACAGCCGAGCTGCCTTGAACCCCCGGGCTCCCAAGCACACATGCCATTCCTGGCGTGCCAACGCGCTCCCTGGCGCGCATCACCTGCCCCTGACCCCCGCAGGGAGGAAGGGGCACCTCAGTGCCTGCTCTGCCAAAAAACCACCACCATCACCACCTTTTACACATCCAGCTCCCTGTTACACAGAATAAGCCACCTGCCCCCCTCCAACTATTATTACAGGCTTTATAAGGGTTTAAGTGTTGATCAGAGGATGGCCGTGACCTCAATAGGTGGCTAAGCTAGGCAAGGCAAAGCCAACAGTTAAAGGAGCTGTCTGGCATGGATACAGAACAAGGTGATGACAGAGGCTGTCTGACAGCACCACTACCTCTGTCCGCCTGTTTTCCACCAACCAGATCCACTATCTAACAGTCAGACTGACACACGATAGACGAGCCATCTGCTACCAAACATCTTTCAGCAAGATATTGTGGAGGAATGTCACTTTACCTTCCCAACACCTGTTTGACAATGACATTACCCAAAGATTCAATAAGAAACGACCCGCAGTTACATTATTTTAAGACTCCAAACCATTACTATTTAAGGAATAAAAAAAAAAATAAGGGCACAAATAAAGAATCAAACAGCATTTACAGTGTGATACCTAGATAGAGTTAGTGTGGAAAATCCCAGCAAAATATCTGGTAGATGACTTGAGGCAACAACACAAAGTTAGCATCCAAGCCATTTAATCACAACTGGGAAGTGAGAATTAACCCCGTTCCTCTGAACATGTTTGATGTGGGCTAATTTTGGTCTTAGGAATACTGCAAAGCACTCTCCACTATCACTGCCAGAAATACAATGGGACATCGGGCTTGCCAGAATGTATGTTGAGGCGACAGACAAATACAAATTAAAAGCAGATCTTAAGGGAATGGACAGAAATGCGGCCTTGCTTTTTTTAATTGAAGACATTTTTTGTGAACATGTCAGTGTATCGTTTTCCTTCGCAGCTTGATATCATAGCTTCTGAGACGGAAATCTTCATGAGAAGCACATTGTGCACGTATGTGTATAAGAATGACTGCTAAGAGTGTGTGATTCAGATAATGCCACAGTCCACTATGGGACCAAGTGTAGCTGACAGCTGTGCAGGAAACAGCAGTGATGTGAAGCATAAACACAGGGGTGGTGATGAATGGCTCTGAGTGTGTGCTGTGATGCTCTTCTGCCCATACCACAGCACATGTCTAAGTTATCAGCCTAAGCCTTTGTTTTCTCATAAGTCTATCAGAACAATACATGTTACCCCATCATAATATTGACTTATTAACATTTCAGTAGAATCTTGACTGATCATCCACATCTTTAAAACTAGCAGGAGTGGTTATTTTTCCCCTTGTTTAGTATGATCATTGTTTTTTAGCCAAACGTGTTATTCTCAAGCAAATCAAGTTTATCAAAGAAAACATTGTATAAGAGATAATGTGTTAATACCACAAGTTTGAGAAATATTTGTCGAAAACTCGAATGATGAGACCTGGAGGTCACAGTTAAAGTGAGGACCTTTTACCCTCGCTGCACCTTATCAACACGCCCTCACTACAGCGTGACTGTGGTCTCTCTTCTGTCTGCAGACCATTCTCTACAGTGGAACCGTTTTCACTCCATCAGAGGAGGTTACATCAAAGTAACTGTTGCAATGTAGATAGTAAAGTTACAATAGCTTCTTTCATTTTGGAAATGTAGCTTTCACTTTTATTATTATTATTTATGGAGCGAGTTAGTTTGGTCGGTGCAATAACTGGATTTTACCACAATGTTTCACAATTATAGATTGCAGTGTGTGCAGGCTAACTAATCAAAACAATATTGCTGAGCTGATCTAGTGTAAGATCTTGTCATTCCAATGAGAGTTGTTTTGTCTATTGAGGCACATCTGATACAGAGATTCCTTCATGCTTATTGTTTTGCAGATTTCAAGTGTTGACTGCTGTCCTGAGACGAGTCTCAATGTCAAGAAGACCAATATATCCCAAGTAATGTCTAAGTGCTAAAATGTCTTTTGAGCAGAAAGAAGTATCATGTTTTTTTTCATGGCATTAGAGAAGGAAAGGAACATGATAGTAGGAGGATAGAGATGGGCGTACCGTACATCTTGCCCTCGTCCGAGAGGATGATCTTCCTTCGGCCACAGGGGGGGTAGAGGGCCAGGGCCTCCTGGAAGCTCTGCTCGATGTCGGGGCTCCACACGCCCTCCGCATCATTCTCCAGGGGTTTGTCTAGTCCGTCTCCCAGCTCCTCACTCCCACCCCTGGGGGAGGGAGCGGGCACCCACTCCGCAGACGTGGTGGGACGACGGGAAGGGGACCAAGGAGCAGGGGATGGAGGGTCTGGGTCGGGGGAGATGACGGCAGAAAGGGAGAGACCAGTGCTCACGGCTTGTATGAAATCCACAGAGGAGATGACGGTCTACTTTTGGCAGGGCAGTCCTGGGAAACAAAGGAAAGGAAGATGAATTTAACATGGTGTTGTGTAAATCATTTTCCTTTTCAAATTAGTCAGGCAAGGGTTTCACAGGTGACTCTTCAACATTGTAGGCTTCTCAAGTAGTTCTAATTTACTCTTTCTACTGGTCTGACATATTGACCAACATGAACACTTTCACAAAGCAAGAGTAACCAGATAAAGAATACAAAAAAACCTTAGCCTTTAAATGGCTAATTAATATGGCTGCAACACTTTCAACTCATCTCCACATTTGTTTGATCAATCAGAGAATTTCTCTAAATGAAACCAAGTACATTTCTTCAAATGCTATGTTTTGTGCAACCAACAGCAAAGCACTGCCTTAGAGACGGTGGGCTATACTGAGGAGATTCTCCAGTGGTGATACAGCAAATAAACTCAAGGCAACCAACATTTGCAGACCATCTTTTACTTAAACAATAAAGCCTTGCAAGGACATCATAAAGTACTTTAATATAGTAAGAGCAGGTGACAACCAAGCTGCTACATGAAGGCAGTCATATGAAACAGTACAAGATCAATCAGCCACACAGCAGTTCATCCTGATTAGGAAAAAGGCTGCTCACATAATTAAAAACAAATAATGTGGCACCTAGTGTCGGGACTAAAGCAGGAGGGGGACACATGAGTCCTGAAGTCAGAAGATGAGGAGACAAAAGAGGGATCACCATCCTCACACACACTTTGAGCTGCAGAGGATCATACCAGGACATTAAGGCCAGGAGGCTTTTTAGGATGCCCATTTCTTCATCAGTATACTGCGGCTGACTGTATTATTAAACTTGGAGATCTTCAGCTGAGATTGTAATTAATGTGCTTGTGCATTGTTTTGGGTGTGGGAGTAAAACAATAACCAGCTCATTCATTAAAAGGTTTAACTTGAGATTCCATTGGCCGTTAATGACAGAAAGAAAACGCAGTTATATCCACAGACTGTCTTCCAACAGTTTGATTTCCTGTTTTCTCTCCACGCCAATTTGTTTAGGATGTGCACACACATCGGGTGGAGAGTATGAGACAGACGTCGACTCCACCACTTCCTCTCGGTGGACGTGCAGGAGAGACGTGGAAACGGGCACAGATGGTAGGACAAGGTAAAGTAAAAAGAACTCCTGCGTCAATGCAAACAGGGCCTTGTGTTTGTCATTTTCCTGCCACTGTGAAACTAAGAGACCTCCATGTCCATTTAGGGCAACACAAAGAAAGAAACAGGGACGATTACCTCAGTTACACTCCCAAACATGAGTGTGTGTGGTACGTGTGAAGGCAGTACAGGGAGCGACAATTGTGAGGCTCCAGCTGAGAAGCTCGTAGTGATCTAATGAGTCAGTGTGCTGTATGGAGTGAGTAAGACTCTTCAGCCTGGCTGCTGGCTGCTGCCTGCTGCCCCCCCTCCTTCGCTCTTCCTCTGAGTCCCTGATGTTCCCACCACTTCCTGCAAAGCGTCCGGTCAGTCAGCCGTCCCCCCCCCCACATGTATTTCTCCCTGTCTTTCACAAACACTTATTTGCAGATGTAGACGTAAAAGCACACGGTGATAAATGAAACTCATGTCCACAGAAATATAACACCAACAGAAACTTAGAGAGCAGACTGGACAAACTCAAAGCTACATTTAGTCTCAATAGATAAACATGATAGATATTGTTTTTGACAATAATATTAAGTAATATGTCGTTTTCTCAGTCTCTCAACAATTATACTTAAATTGATAAGTCGCTTGACAGTTGCATATCTCTGGGGTGTTGTCCATTGGTTGGACAAGACTGTACATTTGAAAACTTCACCTAAAAGTATGGACATTTTCAGCTTGAGGACCCTCCTTTAGACTATCCCACTAGTCAATTAACATCTGTTGCTTTGAACTTAATGTGACCCTAGAAGAAAGTCTGACTGGAGATATATCAGGACCACACTGAAGTGGGTGTGACATAGTTTATAATCAACTAGTTAACAGGTCTTCTGATGCGAGGCTGTGAGGTTTTTAGTAACCGATTGCTTTTACAGCTTGTTAAAAAATTAACTTATCAGAGCAAATTGTCAGCTCAGATAATGAGACATAAAACCAAAAAGCGTTTAGCGATCTGAAATGTTGCTGTACATATTTACTTTTGTTGTAAACGCAGACATTTGCCATTAAGAAATATATCAAAATCAACAAATACATAAAGAAAACCTAAGAATATATCTATAATATAATAGATATATCAAATTCAAGAAATCACAGTTTTTCCTTTTATATTAAATGTGCGATTGTGCAATTCATTACTCTTATCCTAAATAAAAGTAAATGCAATTTTTCTGAAATAAATCCCACCAACTAAAAGTAGCTAATCTTTCTGTTGCACAATACAATAAGCCCTAATCTTGATCACGAGCCGACCGGCTACTTGACAGGGAGCCAATGGCATTAAAACCACAACTTTGTAAAATCCCAAAACATGAACTCAACTTTTACACTTTTTATTTTTTCATTAATGAATTTGAAGGAACTGCACCTCCGGCTCAGGGCCACTGTAGGTCACTGTGAGATGTGTGCAGGCCGTAAACTATTAGTGAGCTGCTCTGTGCCCTCATCAAAGTGCCCAGGAGGTTAATTAACCTAAGCCATGCCTTTAACCCCCCCCCCCCCCCCCCCCTTCAACTTCTCCCCCATTGCCCCCTTCTCCCTCCACTCAGCCACCCCCAGCCAGGCCCCTCTTCCCTGGATCCGCTCAACAGGATAATCCCCCAGCTGGTGCTGCGGTCAGGGGGCCACGTAACCCCCCACAACTGCCCTTTCAACACAACTGCAGACACACACACTGACCAACAGACACACACTCATGGCATTAAATGATGAGGTAAAAAAAGAGGCTTAAATACACTCACTGAAAGAATCCAAGCATCATTTGCAACACTGAAAGACATCTCACACAATTAGCCAACAAACAATAAAGCCTCAACCTGAAAAACACACCAACACAGAGGCACATGACCACATGACGCTGCAGGTCGCTGAGCCTCAGTTCACCTTTGCCCTCGACCAGTGTCTTCCAGGTATCTAGGTTAGCTACCCAAAGACGCTCAGTGCATTTGATATTTGTTGGTATTTAAGGCTCTATGGATGTCAATGTCCAGCTCTTTGGTCTAAACTAAAGAAAACTCAATGGATATCCATTACATTTTTACTGACATTAATGGTCCCCAGTCAACGTGTCCTCGTACATTTGGTGATTGTGTCTCATCTGTAACTATAGTGCCACAGGCATGGTGACATTTAAAGTTGTGGGGTCTCAATGACTATTGCATGAAATGTGGTTGACCCAAACACATTTATGTCCCCTCAGGATAATGGTTGTACTCCCCAGCTGACCTTTCATGTAGCACCATCATCAGGTCAGAATGTTACCAAATCTCTTCAAAGCTTTCCCATTAGACATATCTTTACTCTCTAATATTCTTAACTAACACAGTGGACATTAAACCAACCATGGTGTGTAAGCATTGTTGCAGAGAGACTTTTAGCATTGTGATGTTTGCAAATAGCTCAAGTGACCGAATATATCTTCAAAGATGTGATAGCACTGATATAAACTGTCTTTTTGGTATTTAATCATTATCAGCAATCAATAAGAAGTAGAGCAAAGGTAAGTGTATGGCTGTGCATGTCAATATTTAAGATCATTCAAAACAAATAATCGGGAGGGTTTTTGTTTGTCTGCAGAGCTCAAAAACTCCAGTATAATACGTATACACTGCATTTATGTCTGGGCCTGCATTTACAGTATGTGTGTATTTCATAAGTGTTGGTTTGTGTGTTCTCAACTGGTCACAATCTCCACTAATCAGGTGGGGAATGTAAAGGCAGGAAACAGTCTGAGGATCAGGCTATGGGATGGAAAGTCGCAGTGAAGCCGGCGGAGACAAACACTGTTGTTTTGTTGGATTTCTGCTGAGAGCACATGTTCTCTGGCACTTAGTCCCACTGGGCTGCACGAGTGTGAGTCTCCAAGCTCCGCACGCACACACACACACACACACACCAGCGTAATTATTTCAGATTCATCTTCATGTTAAAATGCAGGAAACGCCTCCATAAAACACACGTGCACACACTATTTAGAAAAACCACACTACAAAGTCCGAAGAAGCCTCAGTTCACTACCTGCTCAGTGCCCAACAAAAGAGACGAAGTACGCATTAGTTGACTACCTAAATAATCTGTAAATGTTGTGATAGTCGATTTAATAATTTGTCATATTTCAAGCAGAAATGGCAAAATAAAAGGCTTTCCAAAGACTGCTTTCCTCTGATTCATTTTGTTGATATAAAATGTCGCGAAAAAAAGAGAAACATTTTTACTGACATTTGCCAGGTGGCAAAAACGAACTTTAAATGATTGCTAATGTCACTCTATGCCATCTGGATCTGTATACAGTAGGTTTAACCAGAATATTGCCATAAAAAATTCATATGACAATATTGTGCCAACAGCTCATTTCTGGAACCCCAAAGCGGGTGGAACCAAAATCTGTGAATGTTTTAATGGAGGAAGGGGGATTTAAAAAAAGAAAGAAAAAAGAAGCAGCCTCTGACAATTATACGCAAGCTGCAATTTTCTATATTTGACACGTCTCAAAGTTGCATATCCTTATCTAACGGACCAGGTGAGTGTTGACACCGTCCTCTCTTGTTGTCATTGACCAAAGAGTTGGAGTCACAGAGGACTGAGGGTCCATCAGATCAGGAGCAGATAATCCAACAGAGAGATCCAGCAGACTGGCTGGAATCAATGGACAACAAAGTCTCACACACACTGCACAGAGCTGTGGGTGAGGAGCACTGTTGGTAGAAAAAGGAGGGGAGAAGGGGGGGGGGGGGGTGCAGAAAGTCTTTGTTCTACAAGGCTCATATCTGAGGCATTATGCGTTTCTCTCGTGCGAGCGGAGGAGGAATGATCACTATGTGGGATGAGCACAGCAGAAAAAAAACCCTGCACTGTGGACCTGTCTCAGGGCAACTCCACACACAAACATACACAAGGTTGAAACACAACAAATGCTTGCTCACACACACCTTTTCATACCTTTTTTTGTACCTCCCTCCTTTACTTGTCCCACTCATTCACCCACACAAATACACACCTCTAGGCCCAGTCGCAGCCACCCACACACACACAAATGCTACTGCAGTGCATACGATATGAGAGTTCACGTTACGATATAACTCATCTGAGACAATAGTGAACCCAACGCACTGAAAAATAAAAAGGGCCAAGGCCTTGAAAAAACACAAACTCCTCTGGCTGTCAGACACTTCAGAGGAGGCTTCGACAGGTGTGTTTCTGACCCCCCGCCCCCCACCCCCTTGTCACGCTGTCACCATGCTCCAATCCACCTGTTGCCCCTCTGGAAAACACACTCCTCAGCTGCCCTGCGGGACACCATAACACACACGCACACATCCTGGCAGGCCCTGTGTTAGTCATATGGAACCCTGACAGAAGATATTCACTCACACACTGCCTTTTCAGCTCTGAAATGCTACAGAGAAGTACAACAAAGCATGGCGAGCACACGCAGTATTTACACAATAGATAAATGAATTTTGTAAAGTTGAGTATCATTTTGATCTCACAAGTAATCTTTAACAGTAATGTCAAGCAATATTCTGAAAATCCCACTGGTTTCTGCTCCTCAAATGTTTGCTGGTGTTCCTCACCTCTGTGATAGTAATCTGAATATATAAGGATTTTAGACAGTTGGTTTCACAAACCTATGATTTTCAATTTTTAAATAAATCACATTGGCTTTGGGGACTAGTAATGGGTGGGTGTTCTCTATTTTCTGACATGTTATAGACTCTTCACTCAGTAATTGTTAAAAATAGTACATTTGAATTATTTGAATTATTTTCTCCAATTTATGAGCTGTTCTTGGGGTATTTCACAAAACAGAATTATCAGGTTACTCTGCAAATTATAAAAAAAACAGCCTGTGAAATGCTGCACATGTACAACATATGCCTAAATCATAGATCAACAATTTAAGTTTATTTAATTGTGGATTACCAGCATATAAAATAATTCATACATTTATCTTAAGTTAACTTTTGATATCTTTCTTTTTGATAAAACGGTATGACTTAAATGAAGAAACACCTCATAGCACCACTTACAGTATGTCTTAATTCCAGTTGAGTGTTTTTACTAAAGTAGCAGAAACACGAGAGATATTACAGTTACCGAATAATCCCGAACCTTGCTGAAGTGAAAGCAGTAAATGTTCCCATTATGCAGCTGAATGACCCCAGTCAGTGTTATATTAAATCTTATATATATAATATTACAATTACTTAATATTGTTGCTGAACAGTGAAAGCTGTGCCTTGGTTGAGGCAGCTCATTTCTAATCATGTTTTTGAAGGTGGTCACGTTCCTCATGTAAAATACGAATCTGCTGTCAAATGTAGGGGATTTTCTCTCTAAAATGTTGTTAAATGAAAATACTCAAGTACTGATACCAGTGACTTCAAATGAGCTCCAGTTCAAATCAACAATATCTTAATACTAAATAATGAATGAAACTAATAATCAAAGGACACATTCAGGATAACAGTATAATGTTTTGGAAAAGGACCTTTTATAAGCTTTATTTTGCTGATGACAAAGGCTTTACTTTAAGTGAAGTAGAATTCATCAGAACTTATACTTTGCTTGTCCATTTTCATTTCTTGCGTCCTCCACTTCTGTCCTGATTCTGTACACTTCTACACCGCTGTATATATTAACAAGGGAACTTTTTACTGCAAATTGTATCCATCCGACAGCTGAAGTTATTTAGTGTGATTTAAAATAATGTAAAAGATTAAATCATATAAAACAGCTATTATCAACCACAACATGTTAACAATAATGAAATGATGTGCCTAATGTAATAACAATTCTGACAGACCATTTACCAGCAGGCTGAGTAGCCTACTTTTAAACTTTAAGTCAATTTTGCTGGTATTACTTCAATTTTCTAATCCAGTACATTTGACAAAATATTTTCATATTGTGCTCTGATTACTTTTTACTCAAGCAACATATTACGTTTTTTCTACAATCATAAAATCGCAAGTCTTTAAAACACAGTTATTCTAATTATCGAAAAAGACAAATAAATCATGACATCAAATATAAAACGTAACAATAACGGTAACACTGCACACACTTGAGAAACACTCCGAATTAAACGTGCGAGTTAATCATAAACAGTTGAATTTCCCCAGCTTCGCAGATGTAAAACTTCACCCGGACAGACGCTAATGTTTGACTGCACTTCTGTGACGTTATTCCTTCAAAAACACAACAAAAGTTCCGGCTGCAGCACAGGAAGTTACAGCACACACACTGCAGTGCTGGAATTAAAGACCAAAAAATGCAGGAATTTGGGCGAAGAAATGCCAGATATTTGAGGAATGTTATTTCCGACAGTGAGAGAGAAGCATTGAGAGAGAAAGCGTGAAATACTCACAACCCAGATATTCTACAAACTGAAAGTTTACACTCCGGTAGAAGACGCGGTTTAAATGTGAACATGAGAGCAGCACTTTGAATATTAGAAAACACTTGTTGAGCTTACCTGGGAGGACTGTCAGCGGACTGATACTCAGGCAGGTAGAACAATAATTTGTTTTTTTTATTAAGAATAACTCAGTCTAATGCTTTTCTATTGTTTTGATTGTTTTCTGCTGCCTAGTCTCCTTCCTGAAGCCGCTTGTTTGGAGCGAGAGGAGGGCAGGAATTTCAGGAATTAGCCGTGGTATGACATGAAGCCTGGAAAAAGCCAGAGAAAAGACCAAGGGAGGGAGAGAAGGAGGGGAGGTGAGGGAGGGAGGTCTGACCGGTCAACACGTAATGGCGAGGGGGAGGAGAGGAGGGGAGGAGGGCTCCATAAAGGAAAGGAAAGGGTTGTGAGAGGGGGGAGTGCGAAGGAAATATCAAGAATAAAGTATGACTGTAAAAGCCACTGCTTTTATGAGAGGGACAAACAGGATAATAAGAAGACAACTTCTTTATCATGACTTGCAATGGGTGACAAAAGACTGTGGTCCGGATGTTATATACTGTATACAATACATAATTATAAGCCTTGCTTTGACCTTTTTATCCTCTCATGTTAGAATTAAGTCTATTGAACTTTATCTAGGTTTAAAATGAACAACTATCCAAGTTTGTCCAGATAATAATGTAATACAATTTGAAAGATGTAGGGTATAGGATCTTTTTTTTGGTATTGTTATCGAAAAAGACAAAAAAGGAACAAGATAATCTGACTAAAGAATTTGTTGCCTATGAGCAATCATTTGAGTTAATATTTAATGCTTTTTTTTGTTTTATTCATAACAACTTTCTCCAGCAGATCATGCCAGTTTATAACCTTTTTGGTGGGCTTAATGTTCTCAAGTTAATTTGTTTATGCCCTATAACACATTATATTGAATATAGAAAAAACAATTGTAGTACCATCTTCAGGAAAATGCTCTCGTCAGGTGTTTTAGTTAAGGAGAAGATATCATTTAGTTTATGCTTTATTGAATTAGTTTATATTACAATGTTTGAAGAGATTCCCCATGTGACTCTTTGGAGTCCCAGTTTTCAAACACATTTTGCTTTTATTCTCCAGCTGGTGAAAGCAATATAACTGCTTCTTTACATGGGCGTGTTGTGCAAGTCATTAGAGCTGATCTGAGATGTGATTCTGAGCTTCAGACTGTGGTGAGGCAACACATGAGTACATGTGGGTAACAGAGACCTCCAGTGGACACTGTGGGTATGACATGCTGCTGGTTCATGCTAACATCACTTCGACACAACACACTTTTCTACAATTGTTAAGAATCGACTTATCATCGTTGTTTAAAAAAAGACAGCAGCTACGTTACAGTGGACCATATTTATCACACAAAAACATCTTTAAGACTTACCAGTTGTTGTTAAGTCGCCGTTGTGCTCAGATGGAGATACTTCCTTGTTCAATGGAAATTCCCAGCAGTGCCACACTCCTTCCATTTCTAAAACACGGATGAATTTACTCCAGTGGATGTAATTTAGTGCATCGGAAAAGAGCTTGTTTTCATCCTCTGACTTGTTTTTCTCTATCATCTCTTCACTGGGTTGCTTGGAGTCTCCCCCCACACACTTCATGGTGTTTGATTTCCCAACGATACTCACCCATCGAAAGCTGGGCCTCGTGACACAGGTGCATTTGTACTGCATTCAATGAGGACCCGTTCATGACCCACAGCTGATTCCAATCTAACTAATTAGCTAATGTGCCGCACCAGTGATGATGTAGCTGTGTGACATTAGATGTAAAGTACTTATGCTAACATATAGTTTATGTTTGTACCTTCAAACTGTTTTTTTATTCTAATTTTCTCTGTTGTATTTTACTCGCCACCCTTCAGAGAGGGCATTGGAAATGGGGACAGCGCCCTCTGGAGTTGAAGGGACTTAAGTGTTTTGAGCACATAAATAAAGGAACACCACTGATTTTACATGTCAAAGTCAATTTACTAGTGGCAGAGAGTACTACTCAATCTGTAATGTATAATTAATTATATGGCTTAGGAGTAGCAATTACTCCTATAAAAACATACTATTTCTTTCACAGACAACATTTTGACCTTTACAAGCACAGGTGTCAATATTGAAATGAATGGTAGCTGATTTACAATTACCTGTCCTTTTCCTACTATGACAAGTCAAAATGCCTATTGTCTTGTAGACTACAATTCGTAAAGGCCCAATGAACGAACCCATGGAGATACTGTTGCGTTGCATTATGGGAAATGTAGGCTTCAAGAAGTAAACGCACTATGGTTCACCAGCAACAACTAAATGTACATGGCCTCACTTTAACTGTATGCTACAAGGAAAACAAATCCAGAAAGACATGTGTAATTCAAAACATTCAAATCACTTTATTTAAAAAGTTTAATTGCAATCAAGTTTGAAACCTAGTGAAATACATTGATTCTGATTGGCCTAAGATACACATCTTCCTTCAACATCAAGTCTATTCAAACCATGTACTCAAACCCAAGTGAGAGATGCATTCACATTGATTTCCTTCTTTAAATGTTCCTCCTTTTGGTGCTCATTCCTTTTCCATTAAAAATTAATTTACTTAAAACAGTGGTACATTTACCCAACAACCCAAAGTGGTCTACAAACAGTCTGGAGTAGACTCTGTTAAATAAAGCCTATTACTGTACAAACTACAGGAGTTTTTCTTGCACTCATTTGAAGGACATTTAAAAAAAGAGATTAAGTTGATCTAAGAAGAATATAAATTAACTTAAAAGCCTCCTGTTGGTGAAGAAGTTGTACTATTGTATTTAAAAAAACTTCTATAGAAAATACTTGGAATGTATAGGAAGGTATGTACAAAATGGGACCTTTAGTGACACTTCCTCATGCAGGTTTACAGTATACTATAGGTCGGGTTATTGACCGAGAAAGGGAGAACAATGTTCATAAAAACATTTACACTTTGCTGTGCGAAACAGTGACACACTGCAGGGATTGACATTGACAGAAAACCCAGGCAAAGGTCTAGAGAGACACTCTTAGACATTGCCTTATGGTGTTGGAAGGGAGTTTTGGTCCACGTTGAGTAAACCCTTCACAACACTTATGGAATGACAAATGAAACTGGGATGTAAACCCTAAGTTTACCCACATTTCCTCATGTTCACAATGTATGAGTCCAGTTCACTTCAAGGGTCTTCCTTTGTTTTGCCCCATAGACACTTCTTCCTCTCCTCATCCTCCACGTCCAGGGACTTTCTTCTTCTTCTTTTTTAAAGCATTGTCTCTTCCTGCCTTTTTTCTACTTTAACACATGACATCCACACTCCAAGCATCATTTCTTTGAAAGGAACTTCATCTTGTTTCCTGAAAAAAACAAGAACAGATGTGATTTAAACTTAACAGAAACATAGCCAAAATCAGTTGCTCTGTATATGTTAACTGTTTAACTAGTTGCAATACATTGAAGCTATAGAGTCAATCTTACCTAGACCCTTGAGGAACTTGTTGACTCCTCGCTGCTCGCTCCCCGGCAGTGAGTCGAGATACTCCTGTGCTCTCACCTCAAATAAACCTGTAAATAAAAATAAATTAAAAAGGTGAATATTACAGGTCAAGAATCTATACAGGTCGAATGCAAGTATTTTAATTTTCAATAAATGTTGACATATGAAATGACAAACTAAGATGGATCGGAAATGTATTTCAAGTTGACCAAGGAACATTCAAAACTATAACTAGATCCTTGCTCCTTCCTCACTTGTTCTGGAGCTTTTGAGTGTCACACAGTCGTCATCATCAAATACAAGTTATGGAGTGGCTAGTGTGGCTCCCCATTTTGTTTATTTTGTGCATTCTCTTTTTCCATTGAAAGTTGAAATATCTACGGTTCCATTAAAACATTTGCTGAGGAAGACCATGTAATGTGATTGTGGTGGTCTAATGGATAGTGAGGTGGGCTGAAGATCGGAAGGTTGTGAGTTCAAATCCCGCCTGGAACACCACCACTAGTGTGCCCTTGAGTAAGGCACTTAGTCCTTAGTTACTCCAGGAAGAATGTCCCTGTAATGGGTTATTGTAAGTCGCTTTGGATAAAAGCGTCAGCTAAATGAAATGTAACACAGTACAAAACTACGTATTACAACTAAATTGATACAATTTCAAGGAACTGAACCTAGAAAAAGGAAACTTGATCACAGTTGAATAGTTAGTAAAAAGACAGATACAACTTTTTTTCATATTAACATATAGGTAAGAGTTTATAACAAATATCTATACTTTCACTATAATAACCTGTACTGCAACACTACTGCAGGTGATGTAACATCAGTACCTCTGAGGCCCTGCCTGCGCAGCTCCCTCTCCTGGATGAAGCCAGTGAACATCTGGGTCTCCATGAACACCTCCAGGAACCTTTTCAAGCTCTTGGACGTGACCGCTTTGCGAAATTGTTCACGCTGAAAGGACGAGGAGGGGGAAGAAGAGGGGCTGGGCAAAGTTGGGGAGGAGACAGACTCTTCATCCCGCTCCCCTCCTCCCATGAAGAGGGAGTAGTGACCCACCATCTCCACGAAGAAACGCACAAAGGCCTCCGACACCACCGTGCTGAGCGAGCTGGAGTCTGAGTGGAGGTAAAGGAGTGATAATAAATGAATTAGAAAAGATTAAATCACAACATATTCACTGACGTACACAAAAGAATGATGACTACATCCAGTATCTGCCAAAGATTGATCAATAGCAATTACTCAAAGACTATTTTGCCAAGTCATTTAAAATAAAACGTCTTACTCAGCAAGTAGTAAAATAAAGTCCCTATTAACTGGAAACTCACAGATACTCCCCTACTCATACAAATCACTTTTTACAAATTACATTACACTCTCAGAAATACATAAGTTGTCTGCATACATAAAAAGACGGTGTCTCTTAGCCTTGTTATTAGTGTGCCTTTTACACCATTATTCACCATTGGGCAGATCTCCTTTATCGCAGGCCAGCTCCTTCCTCTTGTCCAGCACATGCTCCAGAGCCGCCTGCAGCTTGTGGGGAAGAATGGAGTCCTCATCATCCAGCTGTGAAGTGAAGACACAGATGTTAACACAGTAAACATGCTGCAGTCAATCAACATATCTTACATAACATCTGGTAGAACCACCATATGTTTAAAAGGACACCATGTGGTAATAGACAGATTTTCCTTATGTTTCTACCTGTCGTAGGAAGCGGCTGTTCCCGAGGTCGACCACCAGGACCTGAGGGAAGAGCAGAGGGAGAGTGAAGTCATTTCCTGGAGCTATTGTTAAGAGGAGGAAAGCCCCAGGATCAAGGGCACTGCAGTCAGTACTTCACCAACAAAGAATAATCATCGCACCTCTTCGATGGGCAGCTCTTTGAGTCGAGGCAGGGAGCTGGAGAGGAGGCCGACTATAAAGGGGGTAGGGGTGCAGACAATATCCAACATGGAGGGTGGGAGCACGGGGATGTACGTGTGCTGCCAGGTGAAGGGGTAGAGTAGAGCCACTACTGCATGGCAACACTGAGACAATGTGCTGGGGAGAAAATGAGAGGGAAAGGAAAAGGTAAACGCTTATTCAACAACGACAAATCATTGTCATAATACAGTATAGCATCAAAAAAACTATGTTTGAAAGAACATAAGACAAGCCTTTAAAAAACTGTGAATTAAACTACAAAGAGTACTGTATATCGACTTTCAGCAGAAAATGTAATAATGGAAGTTTTTAAATCATTAAACCATAATGTAGCTATTCAGTAGCTTTTGAATGTATCATTTATTGCATGTCAGACGCAGTATTTAAGCTAACATATATGACAGGTCCTTAAAGGGTAATCAAAATAAAATGTTAATATCTACAATGTCATGGCAACTCAAATTAATCTGATAAGGAAAGTATGGCAAAAATAACCACTTAAAGGTGGGGTAGGTAAGTTTGAGAAACCGGCTCGATATACACTTTTTGTTATATTCCATGGAATGCTCTTAACATCCCGATAGCAATGAATATCTTAAGTGCTTTGACAAAAAATCTATAAATAAATGTCATCTGTGGAAGCCTTAGTACTGTAAAAAGCACGACCAATCATTTTAGCCCGGCCCGGCTAAAATAACTGGATGGCCTACCTGCCTGTCAGCCTTCCATCGGGGCACAAACTTATCTCGTGCCCTCATTGGTCACGTGCGCGTTCGTGTGTGTTGGAGGAGGGGCTCTGTAAGGAAGTGGCAGATTTTTTCCGGCTGTGTATTTTCACATTTTAGCGCACTCGAGCTGGTTTCTCCAAAATTACCTACCCCACCTTTAAAACGACCTTGTTGTGAGATTGTTGTCAACTTCTGCTTCTAATGTCAAGAATGAACTATTAACCCTATAATATTATCCTTATTTATCATGGTACAGTAGTAATATGTTATCTCATACCCCTGTATTGTAACGTAGCATACATATAATGTATAGTTTAGTATTGTTTAATGTGCAGGCACAATCTAGCACCTTACTATACTGTAGGGAACTTATTGCAGTCAGCTGTGGATATTAAGTATAGCAGGTCAAGAGAGTAATAGTGATACAAAATAGAGAGTATTTCTTCATCTTTGATTTTAAGACACTGGTCAACAACATTGTACTTAACATGTCAAAAAGTATAGAAAGCCTCAGAAATCTATGAAAAAGCGAAAAGCACATCCCTGAAGGCCGTTTATAATGTCTGTGTGTTATCTTTTAACAATCTAAAATACTAAAGTCTAGTCTCTGCCACAAGATGGTGCTAACCCACTCC